GGGCAGACACCTGCAAAACGATATTTCCTGATCAAAGCTGAGCAAATATAAACCAATCTACTGAGCATATTTTAAATAGATGGATTGCTTCAATGGATATGTCACCAAAATGAATCTGATAAGCGCTCTAATGCAATCATCTATTAGATTAGAATCTTTGGGACAATATGCACTCAAACAAGAACATACCTCTTCTCCGATAATTGTTATGTTTGGGTGAGTTTGTAAAGCACACTCAAGTGTAATGTGGGAAGCAGCACGTCCCATAAGTCGTACAACTGCAATGAAAATGTGATACAGCATTCAAATAGGAACAATAGCAATGATTCAACTTCACGAATTTCAATTTACACAATTACTTACAATGATAGTATTTTCCAGTTGACCTTGCATCAATCATGACATTTCCAATCATCTCAGAGTATATCTGCATAAGCATCAGAATGTTTTAGAAGGCTCAAACATATTTCTTTTGGTGGAACAAACAATTAGATTCTTGACGAGAAATAGAATCTATAGCGTATGGTTAATCATGTGAAAATTAGTGTAGGGAAAGCAAAATTTTAGGGTAAACACAGAGGAAAGTCTAGAAGAAAAAAAGGATCAAAACGGATGCACACCTTGCAAGCTGTATCGAACCCAAAACTAGTAGGAACCTCTTTGCATTTCAAATCACCATCAATGGTCTTGGGGCACCCAATGACTCGGGTTTTCAAGTTCTTACTCCTAATTTTACAAACAAGAATATGTAGAGTAGTGAATTAGAAAGAACAATTCACAAGGATCTTAAAAAATTAATAAACATAATAATATTGGACTACCAGGTTTACCTGAAGTTTTCAGCAAGGAGGCAAGCATTGGTGTTGGAGTCATCTCCACCGATTACCACCAATCCATCCAAATCTAGCTTCTTTGCTGTTTCTTCAGCTTGTTTAAACTGCACATGTGAGCCATTTTATAATTACACACTGCCTGAAGTAGAGGCTTTGTAAGCAGCAATAGATCTCCTAAATATATTTAACCTGTTCAGGGGTTTCGATCTTGTCTCTTCCACTGCAGATCATGTCAAAACCACCCTGTTGACACCCACAGAGAGTTATAACCACATCGACATAAAACACAAGCAAAATCAACCGAGGATTTATGCGCCCTAGATGCAGATTATCATAGTGTAAATGTTGATTTTAAAACTTGGATTAAGTCGAAAATGATGATGTACTTCTAAAATCCCAATGGATCAAAAAGCTCGAGGAAAAGATCCATAAACTATACAGTCCCAAGTACCTGGTTTCTGTATGGCTGAATGTACTCAGCATTCAACTCAACATATTTGCACTTCATGATACCAGCTGGACCACCCTTGAAACCGTAAAATGTGCTTCCTTTTGCACGCTCCTGCAAGTAATCTAACCCC